AATATCACTTGGTAACCACTAGGATAGCTACAATCAAAAATAGGAAAAAAGTTTTGGTGAAATGTGGAGAAATTAGTACCCTCTTGCATTGCTGCTGAGAATAAAGTGGTGGAGCCACTTTGGAAAACGGTCTGGCAGCTCACCAAGTGCTTAAACATAGAATTACCAGGTAGCCCAACAACTCTACTCTTAGGCTTATGCATTCCCTCAACACTTGAAAACAGGCGTTCAAATCAAAGCCTCACATGAATGTTCATAGCAGCACCATTCGCAGCAGGCTACTTGTGAAACCCACTCAATTGTCCCCCAACGGATGAGTGGGCAACTGCATCGTGGTATGTCTATAGGATGGAACTGAATTCACTGTGAAAGGAATTAGGTAGTAGTGTGTGCCATATTGATGGATATTAAACCGTGTTACATGAAAAAAGCCAGACACAAATGGCTACATTTTTATGATTCCATGTATATGAAATGTGCAGAATAGGCAATCAGTCCGTAGATAAAGAAAGCACACTAGTGGTTGCTGGAGACTATGCAGAGGGAGATGCAGGAAGTCACTGCTTAATGAACGGTCTCTTTCTGAGGTGATGGAAATGCCCTGAATCTAGTTGTGGTGCTATAGCACTACATTGTAAATATGGGCAGTGCCCCAGAATTGCACACTTCAAAATGGTTAAAATGGTGAATTTTAGTTTTGTGAATGTACGTTATTTAAAACAACAACAACTACAATAGATGACTGGTCAGATTTGGACTAGAGGCCAGGTTTGTCAGGCATTGGGTTATACCACAAACTTAATTCCTACATGGTTGAAATAGGAATTTCTGTTAAATTTATTACCTTTTACATGTGTATATGTAACATTTTAAATATGTCTTAGGTAATTTATATAGAAGTTAGAATTATTGTGGAAATATTTTTATCCATTTAATAGTGATAGTTGTTAATGCAAGTTGAATTTTGCTACATATAGCAAGTATATAGAAGGGATGTTTTTAGTGCTGTACCATGTGTTGCATTCATCCTTTCAAGACCCTCACAATGAAGATAATACTGTTACTCCAATATCATGTTCACAGAGGAAGTGAAGGGTTAGTCAGGTTAAGTAAGCTGTGCAACCCCACACAACTCTGTAGTAGTTTTGCACGGACTTAAATTCCCATCATTATAAATTCTGTTTTGTTTCAAATGCTTTCCTTTGTGTTTGTACAAAGTTATATATATTTTATTTCCAAATAATATGCCTATCATTAAAAATATGTTTATTTAAAAATATATTTATAATTAAAATCGACATACAATATAATATTAGGTTTAGGTGTACAACATAGTGATTCAACACTTATATACCTTACCAAGTGTTCAGCACCACAAGTCTACTTAACCACCAGTCACTGTAGACCAGTGATTTTCAACTGGTTTGCCCCAAGAATTTTTAAACCATGCAACCCCTGACCATTTATTCAGGGGCACGTTTCCCTTAGATTATCAAATGAAGAAATGACAACAGCCAACACGACAATAGCCATTCAGTGTGAATGAATAAGTATTATACCTATTTGTTTTGTCAAGTTTGCAAAGAATATGATACATTTTTTGTTGTACCACAGAATTTTAGAAGCTAGTTTACGTGTGCCATGAGATGAAGCAGGTTGGAAATCGCTGCTGTGGATCGTTATGACGAGCTTATTCGCTCTGTTTCCTCTGCTCTATGTTGCATCCCTGTGAGTTATTTTATAACAGGCAGTGTTTACTTGTTAACCCCTTTTCTCTTTTCTGCCCATCTCCCCACCCGTCTCTACCCTGGCGCCCATCGGTTTGTTCTCTGCCTGTTTTACTGCTTAGTTGTTCAGCAATAGTGCCCGTAAGCTGCCTGTCCTCTGTGACTGCTGTCTCACTTCCCACTTCCACGGGGGGCGTGCTCACTGACGGGCAGCTCTGCAAGGGCCCGAGGGAGCATCCTGCACACCCTGCGGGGCCAGAGACAGGCCCGCAGGACCGTCCCGGATGCAGCAGGGAAAGCAACACGGTTCACTTCTATTTGAAAGTCTTATTGCACATTATGCTCTCTAAAAAGTCGTTTTCTCAGATTCTGAAGTCTGATAAGTCTTTTCTGCGAAAATATTGATTTAATTTATATCAATAAAATCAAAAGTCCCTCAGTATTTGTGTCTTTTTCTTCCAGTTATACATTATAGACCATTTTTACCTCTGTGAATAGCCTGTTCATACACTCTATCTGTTTTCATATAGGACTGTTTGTCTTTTTGTTTGTGATTTATAAGATTTCTCACCATACAATGAGTAGCAATTATTGTTCTGTTATATGTGTTGCAGGATAGATTTGAGGAAAGTTAATTAGCCTATATGAATGATTTAACATGATTACATACTATGGTACATTTTTAGTTCTGTTTTTCTTTAAATGTGTGCCAATTATAGATAGAATATTTATAAAAATTTCTATAGTAAACTTTTTCTATAATTCTCCCAGCATCTAAGTTTTAACTTGTTTTTAAAATGAATTCATCCTTTGGCTGGACAATATTTATTGTGAGACTTTGATGATGGTCTTCATGGCCATTTACAACAGGAATGCTTTTTCTCATGTGGACCTCTGTGATCTAGCTGTGTATGTTTTAGGAGGGCTTTGAACATCCTTGAGAAGTAAGTTTCTATGTCTACGATTTTTATATTCTTTGCATTGTTATTGATTATGGTCAGTCACAGTGTGTCTGGGTTGAAAAGAATATGGTGACTGTATATTTTTTGACATGCCAAAGACATTAATGTTTCCATATGAGGGTCATGGGAGGGATGAGGCTTCTGAGGAAAGAGCGAAGGAATGAGACATCCTGATCTCCTTTTGGTATATGGAATAATAATGATTATTTCAAACCTTCTTCATCAAACACATTGAATTGTTCACAGTGTTTGTAAGTAGCTAAGTGATGCTGTGCCTTGTTTTTCAAGAGGTGGGCATATATATGTACACACATTTTTGGAGAGAATCAAAATTTACTAAGTCCCTCTAGAGTATAGGTTCTACAATATCAGTTTAGATTATAGATTTGACCGAGTATCCATTATGAAATGCTGAAATGAGAGCAAAATCAACCAAGTGAATCTTTTTAAGGGGCTATAAGGTAAAGAGAATTAGCTACTGAAACCAATAATAGCCCAGGTTTATAATAGGAAGCAATTAGCTGTTGTTATATTTCTCAACCCACATACATTTTGATGGTAAATTAACTTAAACTGGACAAAAGCAAATAACTTGCCATGTCTTTAGAAAGAAATGATTCTGAAGCTGGAGTACAGTAAAACCAAGGAGCATTATTGGTCTCCCAAAATGAAAGGGAAAGATGCATCATTTTACATAATTCTAACTAATTGAATATTTCTTTAGCCAACGGTGCCACACACTACAAATTTTTTTTACCAAAATAAAGTGATAATATTCTGAGTATTTGCATAATAATACTGATATGATGAATAAACTACTTAATGTTCTTGTGTTTATGCCTAATGTTTGAAATATAGTTAAGCTCAATCATTTTTTTGATATGTTTTAGAATTAGAATAATAAAATTCAATATATACCCACATAGCTTTACTATTATTTTATTTTTCCCCAGGTTTTTTATCTTTGGCATGAATATTTTTAACTCTGAAACAGATAGTAAAACCCTTGAACAGAAATTTTGATCTGAGAAGCTAAATTGTGAAAAGTCATTTTGTCACAGGAGGAAGTGACCCTTACATCACAACTTCATGCTGGAATAAAGTGGAGGAGTCCCATCTATGGGGCATATCAGCTTCAGGCCTCAGAAACAACTACTCCCTTTTCCCCTTCTTTCCTGGGTTAGCACACTTCTGGCAACAAAACAGAACACATTTTGTGATGACAAATATGGCAGTTGCCACACAGGCCAGCAGGAACCCAATCACATCCAAAGAGTGGTACTGGAACCAGGTGAGGTCATGGGAGGCTGGCCGCAGGTGTTTGGCTCCTTTGTGGCGCATGACAAACTCGATCCAGAAGACTGCTCGATCCAGAGGTTTCATGGGCTGGTCATGTTGAATTCTTGATAACCTCATTGCATTCTCTTTATATCTAAAGGAGAAGCGCAAAGATAACACACCGAGTGAAAGTTAACTTACCTAAGCATATCATGCCCATGAAAGGCTTTTGAAAATGTCATACATATGATTCAAAATAATGTCATTTATTGACTTGTAGAAGTAATCTATATTTTGTTTCTTAATATGTGACTTGGCCTTTAAGTTGGAATTTTCTGGTGACACATAAATTGAAAAGCGAAGATGGAAGTTAATTTGCGATAGTTTTCTTTTCTGGCAGAATTAATGATAGGAGCCATTGTTATAGCTATAAATAAGATGTTGAAAATCACTTTCAGAGTGATTTTCATGAAGAATTTAAAGGGAATAGTGTTATCATGAGTGAAATGCCTCCTCAATAGTTCCTCAGCTTCAGCTCTTCCCTGTGATCATCTTCTCTTTAATTTCAGTCATTGGAATACACCTTTCTGTAATGAGGCTCTCAGCCCCTAGTAAGCATATGAAAAGATGCTAAATAGCAATGGCTCTAAGGGAAATGCAAATCAAGACCTCAAGGAGAGACCACTTCATACCACTAGGATGGTAATAAAATAGACTGATGATAACCAGTGTTGGCCATGACGTGGAGAACTTGGATCTGTCATACACAGCTGACGGGATGTGAAAAGTTGCAACTTCTTTGCATATCAGTTTGGCAGTTCCTCATAGTTACCATATGACCCAGCAATTCTATTTCTAGATTTCTACTTAAAAGAAATAAAAACATGTTCCCTCAAGACATGTATAACAATGTTCATAATAGTAAAATATGGAAACAGCCAAAATGTTCATGAATTATTCAATGGATAAATAAATGAAACACACCCATATATAGACTATTGTGGACAACAAAGGGGCTCTATAATCAATCAATCGAAAGGTTACTTCACAGGGTGGCCTGATCGTAAAATTCTAAACCAGTAAGGTCCTGATGAGTAGTCTTCGGGTTTGTAAAAAGGATTATCTTTGAGTTAATCAAGCCCTGTCCATTGTTCTTTCACAAGTAAGTTACCTTATCTTTGAAAAGATTAATGCTCTCAGACTTCTCCCAGGGTTAACTACCCTCTCCGGACCACATAATCTGGTTCTCTATCCCGAATGCTCCTGTTACCTCCTTAATTCCCAATGTATAAAAGAAACTGCAAAACAGTCATTCTGAGGAATATTTGAGAGGTTTCTTCCCGGCATGTTTACCGTTTGTTTCAAATAACCTCATATAAAAATTCTCTATGGGTTTAGCTATGGCCGGTGTAGCTTAGTTGGTTGGGTGTCATCCGGTATATCTGGCGGTTGCTGGTTTTATTCCCTGTCAGGGCACATGCCCAGGTTGCAGGCTCCATTCCCGTAGGGGGTGTGCAGGATGCAACTGATCATTGTTTTGCTCTCACATTGTTGTTTCTCTCTTTCTCTTCCTTTCATTCTTTCAAAAAATTAATTTCAAAGACCTTTAAACAAAAATTCTCTTTGGGTTTGGATATTTCTTACATTGACACTGTTATTCAGCAATACAAAACTACCACATGGATGAAACTCAAAAACACTCTAAGTGAAAGAAGCTACTTGCAAATATTGTATGATTCTGTTTGTATAAAATGTCCAGAATTTGGTAACTTATTGGGCAGAGAGTCGATTAATGGTTGTGTAGGGCAGGGGAATGGTGAGTGACTTCTAAGAATATGAGATTTCTTTTTGTTATGAAAATGTCTTAAACTTAGGTTATATTGACAGTTCATAACTTTTTAATATAACTACCTATATTTTATTTTTATACTTTAAATGTTGAATTTTATGATATTAAAATATATATCATTGTAACATGTTAAAATAACGATGACAATAAAAATCAATTTTTTAAGCCAAGAGTGATTGTTCACATTAGAATATCCAAACCTGTAGGGAATTTTTATAAGTTTATTTGAGCCAAACTCAGGACATGCTAGGGTGCAATATTTCAAGTGCTTTGGGGAATAGCAGTTTTGTAGCTGTTTTTATGCATTTGATTAAGGAGAAAACAAAGGAACATTACCTGGAGGTTGGGAGGAAGCAAAGCAGGGATTTATTGTGGGATTCAGGTAACAAGATTATGTGCTCTCTGGAGAGTTAAGGGTCCTTCTGAGGGGTATTATTTCTGGTATTTCAAAGGAGTGTTAACCTAGTTGCACAAGAACAATGGACAGAGCTGGTTTAAAACTTTTCAGTAAGGAAATTATAGGCCAGGGGCCTGACTACTCATCATGACCTGTGTAGATAGGAATTTAAATCAGATCTCTCTGTGAGGTACTTTCATACAACCCATTTTTTTGTCCACAAGATTCAAAGCTTCAGAAATGTTTGGCTCTGAATTGAAATGTTTTATGCAACTTCTTGTTTTCCTCATTCTGTGGGTTCTGTCATAGTTTAAAAAGTATGTCCTTGCAGTGACCAATATAACGCTATGCTTGCTTGTGTAGAAAATTGTTGCGGTAATTGGTTACCCGTTAAAATGGGTTAAATGCGCCATTGAAATTAATATCTGGTTGAAACTAAAAGCAGATTTAAGATTGGTGAAGCTAGGAGAATAATTTCAAAATTTACCTCTCATCATCGGATGACACTCATACTCATCCCTGACAAAAGAATCTCTAGAAATACTCTTAAAAACTGTGATACTCACGAAGGGTCATTAATGACTGTCTTCAGTGCGTTGAGCAGGTCTGCACTAGACATTGTGTTGAAGTCCAGTCTGACAGCTGCTCCCTTGGTCTGCATGCGAGCAATGTTATCAGGTTGATCAGCAAACATAGGGATGCCCACCATAGGGACCCCATGGTAGATCGCCTCATAGATGCCATTGGTTCCACCGTGAGTTATGAAGGCTTTGGTTTTTGGATGACCTAGGATTGGGTGAATTTCAGTAAATTATTAATTATAAGTCTTGAAATAAAATGAGAGTTGGGCAAGAAGAGCTCTCAGAGAGGCAGTCAGTTTAGATGACACATTATTACACACATGCATCTGCATTAAGACGTGTTTAGATCTCAGAACAAGAAGTACTTTAGTTGCTACAAAGGTAAATGGATAGGGGTGTGGCACTGTGACTTGAAAGATGAATACAAGATTGCTGGGTAGACAAAGCAAAAGAGAAAGTTCTGGATAAAAAAATAACACCTGCAGGAAAAAGAAAAAGAAAGGGAGAGGGCATGTCAGAACATACTCTCTTAAAGAGATAGTGAAGTCACCGAGTCTTCCATGTGGTGTCCAGGCAGCAGCAAATGTGAATGTGGTGACTCTGGAATTGGAAAGAAAGGAGCACTCTTAACCTGAAATGTGTTGTCACTTCATGAAAAAGATTATGGATATTTCTCTACAGAAAATGGAGAGTCACTGGTAATAAAATAGGTGCTTTTATTTTTCTAATCGCAGTTAGTACCCATCTAGACAGAGAAAGAATAGAAATGAGAAGGTGGGAATCAGGAGACAGTGATGATCCAGGTAGTTATTGAAAAGTTCTTCATGAGAACTAATTACACCTGAAATAAAGATATTTCATTCTAGGCATAAGGAAGGAGACCGTGTGTAATAAAATGCTAACTTTTATATCTTATCTTTTCCCCCCAGGACTGGAAAACAAATATAAGGAAGGTGAGGTTTTATTTTCGAGTCTTTCTACAATAAATGTTCAATAAACATGTTTCCTTTTCAACTCTTACCACTCTGTTTGCAGTTACTGTAATTTTAGTGTTTGTTTTCTAGAGTCTCACCAAGAAGGTCATTCTGGGGAATCCACTTATAGAGCCGAGTATTTGGTCCTAAGGTGTCTGGTTTCTTGCCATTAAACCTCCACAGAACCTGTTAAAGTAAAGAGAATATTTTATTCCATGAGTTGATCTAAAGTTATAGCAGATTTGAATTCAAAAGAAATTAGAAGATAGCCTAGTTAAACCTCTTCATAGACAGATACATAATGACAGAGATATTAAAAATGAGAGCTATTTTAACACTGGTATAATGGAAATGCCCATAGTTTGAGTGCTTATTTTTATATTTAATGAAGTATGAATGCAATTATGATGTTGAACACACAGAGGAATACAAATGAGATGATCAATGATGAAGTGAATATTTAAGAAATTTTTTTGTATAGTCATTATCATTCTAGTGTAAAAGATAGACAATTACTACACATTTCTCTATTTATTATAATTGCTCTCATTTTACAGTGTAATATTAGCCTATTTTAATATGTGTTACAGGAGGGAGTTTTCTTATATCCACTTGTTTCATAAGCTATTTTTTTACATCAAATATTTAACTTTATTTTTACATTTTTCTATTTTGTCTATTTAAGGTCACTAATTTTTTTTTTTTTTTAATCTTGTTTCTTTTGTATTGACTTTATTGGGATGAAAATGTTGGACAAAATTATGCAGGTTTCAGGTACACAATTCTACAGACATCATCTGCACACTATACTGTGTGTTCAACACCCCAAGTCAAGTATCTGTCCATCACCATTTACCCCCCAGACCCTCCTCCCCTTTCCCTCCCCGCATCCCTCCCCACCCGCAATCACCACACTGTTGTCCATGACAAGTCAGTGAGATTTCCCTCTTCTTTCCCTGTTTGTTCAACCCTAACCCCCCCTCTCCTTACCCCCACCCCGACAAGCATCAGCCTGATCTCTGTCCATGAGTCTCTTTTTCCTGTTTGTTCATTTTGTTCATTAGATTACACACATGAGTGAAATGCTATAGTATTTGTCTCTCTGACAGGCTTATTTCACTTCACCTAACACTCTCCAGGCCCATCCTTGCTGCCCAGGAGGTAAGATTGTCTTCTTTTTATGGCTGAGTAGTATTCCATTGTGGAAATGTACTACAGTTTTTTTCTTTTTCTTTCTTTCTTTTATCTCCATGAACTGAAGATTTTTTCCTATATCTGGGTTTGGATATTTTTTAAATGTAAAAAAGAAGAGCCTGTTGAAACTTTATTACAGTATAGATGCTGAAAAAAAATCCAAAATTGATTTATGCTAAAGGTTTTTTAACTAACTGTTAACACTTGAATGACACACTTCAAAGCATGGACCACACTGATTACTATGGGACCTGTAGCCAAGAAATTATTATGGCCAGGACCAAAATAGATTCTGATTTTGGAATTCTTTAACAGTCCTCATAAACTGGATTGTAATTTACAAGTGCTTAACATTTACTTGCTATGTGAATGTAAAAGCAGCATTATATTTTCAGCAAAAATTAGCATAGGTTATAAGCAGAAATTACATCAGTTAGGAGACTAAAAAGCAGTTCACAAATACCCAAAGACTGCAGGTGTATTCTGTATATAGGAAATTCATTTACTATTGTGATTTGGAGGGGGGGCATCTGAAACTGTCCCGTACTGGGCTTGCTTCTAGTTGACTCCCTATTATACACCCTACTCCTTCCTTCACCAAGAGGAGTTTTTATTCTGATGGGTTAGATTTTAGGAGCCACATTTTATAAACCACAGGGTCATGTTAAGGGGTAGACCCTTTCCCCCTTCCCCTCTCTAATTTATCTTCCTCCACTTTTATAGGACCTAGTCTGCCAGATCATGACAGTTTTTCTTTCTCTAAATCATGGTGGCTGGCTCGGGTCCCTGGACACAGCTTAGTGAGTCCTGGCTGTGCTTTCTCTGGTTAGCACCTGGAAAAGCACACTGGATAGGCCTGTTTCAAAAATTAGGGGTTGTTAGAGTGGCCTGGGTTACTTAGCAAGCCTAAACTGCACCATTCCTTTCAGACTCTTATCAATTCCTGCTTAACATTATGTTAGAATTTAAATCCTTTCTGAGAGCATCTGGAGTGTGTACAGTGCCTTCAGGAATCCTGCAACGAAAAGGAGCGAATGACAGGGCAGAGTCTGGTGATCCTGGTACCCACCTGCAATATCATCAGAGCAGGAAACCTTACCCGGTGCCTCTTAAACACATTTCATTCTGATCACAATGTGAATTCCAAAGTCACTGTCCGATCCACCCTTTGTACTGCTATTGTAGCATGTGCCTTGTATATTTTGGTTTGGATTCATAGCTGAGATAAATGGGAGCTATCACAATGGCTTACATGACACACAGGAAATTTATGTAATTAGAGCCTTCACAGAGTTGTCCATGATTAAGGTGCTGAGTCTAACCTTTTGTGGAATCTGGGCAAGGGCTGAGGCAATCACATTGGCTCTTTCTTCTGATATGTTACTGACCATTGACCCCAGAGTAAACACAACAATACCATTTTGTCCAGAGCTCTGGGCAAACTCTTCCATTTCCTGTAAAGAAAAAATTGCTGCATCACTGTGGGGAAAGTGAAAACACTTTGGCTCTCTGGCCACCTTCTCAGGGCAGAAGGCCGCAGTTATGTAAACATGATATAACAGTCACAAGAGGTGCCCTGTTAGCTGGCTAGTGTCTGAGCCGTGCTGACTGAGAGCCACTATTGTCCTGGCCCCTGTAGGACTGGCCCAGACCTTTGAGAGGTGCGGGTTTGCGGATTGTTCCCCAGGTTGCAGTTAGCTCCCCCTGGGTGGGTTTGTCCCCCGAGGCGCAGTGTGCCCCCTAGTGCCCCGCCAGCCACCCCCTAGAGGGAGTGTGGGTTTGTCTCTGTAGATTTGGCCTGCCCTAGCCAAATAAAGAAAGTGTCTCATCCTCCTTTGGCTCCACAGTTGTCTGAGGACTGTGCCCGGATCTAGAGTGAACCTCCCTGGCCCTGTCTGGCCACTACAGTTAGCATAGTCCTTGGCATGACCCTTGGGTGGTCCTCTGCATTACAGTCACTGAAGAGCAATAGCATGGTGAATGCCATTGAAAGGCATGCTTCAGACAAGAAAGGAGAGAAATCAGGTGTTGTCTGGGATTATGAGTCCTTCCTTTGGTTTGAGTTGTCATAAAATACACATAACATAAAATGACCATCTTAACAGTTCCTAAGTGTACAATTCAGTAGTATGTATATTCACATTGTTGTAGAACCATGTTACAGAACTTTTTCATCTTGCAAAACTGGAACTGTACCCATGATGCAATATTTCCCCGTTCACCAGTCCCTGGTAACCATGATTCCGCTTTCTGTTTCCGTGAATTAGACCAGTCTTCATACATCATAAAAGTGGAATCATGCAGCATTGCCTTTTTGTCAGTGGCCCATTCATTGAACATGATATCCTCAGGCTTCATCCGTGTTATAGTGTGTGTTAGAGTTTCCTTCCATATTAAGGCTGAGTCAAATTGCATCTTGTGTATGCACCACATTTTATTTATTGATTCTCGTGTTGATGGGCCCTTGGGCTGCTTCTACGTTTGACTGTTGTAAAGAATGCTGCTATGAATTTGGGTGTGCAAATATTTTATTGAGATTGTGATTTTCATTCTTTTGGATATATACAAAGAAGTGGAATTGCTGGGCCACATGGTGATCCTAGTTTTATTTTTGGAGAGGATCGCCATTCTGTTTTCAGGTTATTTTTTTGTGTGTTTTTGTTTTTTCTATAAACAGATTCCTTAGTTCAGTTTCTGTGGAAGGGTGCATGTTACTTGAGATTGATTTCCTTTATCATGTATATTTTTGCAAGTGTGTATATGTATATAACCAAGAAATGAAGCAGAGCCAGTACACAGTAGTGAGGAGGAAATACTGTTAGACAATTTTCTCCAAGGCTCTTTGTTTATAATGTTATTAATTACTAATACAGATTCTTTGAATGAGGCCACAGAGCAGTTCCAAATTCACCTTTTATTCTTTATCATTATAGTTTTGCTAAATCACTTGTGCTTATTTCAGGCACATTTTCTGTAGAATTATTTTAGTTTAGTCATTAGTGTTTTATTTCCCTAAGAATTATGACTGGAATCACTATATGTGTTTTCCTCTCACTTCTCTAATACTTTAATATTTGTCATAGTTTCTGAAATACTTCCTCTGAGACACTCTTTAATGGCTGGAGGTTAAGGATAGTTGATATTCAGGAGTGTGGTATAATGGTTTGGAGTTTCCTTGAACTAGTCCTATATGTGTATAATCCGGAATTATATATGTTAAGTTACATATTTGATCGGCCATATTTCTCGGCTTCTTTACCAATGGCACCATTTACCCTGAAATCATATTGTAAAATCAATGTCCCTTTAGAAAGTGCTGTGTGTAACTAGCTGTGAGAACTCCATTATCACCTTAGCGGGTCCTCCATGGAGCACATTAATGGCGAGAGAAGTTGACCAGAGCTGAGACCTGCTTGAGTAGCTCACTTTCACCTATGTAAGTCTCTGTTGAAGTCGAGTTTTCCTGGAACTGTTTGAAAATAATTTTGACTTTTGATCCCTAATCCTTGCCAGTATTTATAATTTCATTACTTTTGATACTGGTGTAATTCCTTATTGTTCAATGTACTTTTCTCAAGAAATGAAACAGATGAGCCAACTGTTTCCTGAATATTTTGTTAAAACTGCACACTCATATCTTGCTTTGTCCCCTCTTTTTTAAATTTAGCATTTGTTTTTTTGTCTCTTTAAAAATAATGACCAAAGCCTTCTGAAATAAAAATATACGGTACTTTCCAAGTTTAGAAAGTTATGACTCTTCATTGTCATAAAGGTCTCTTTGAAATGGTGCTTTCACAGATAAAAGAAAAGAGATGAGCCTCTTCAAACTGTGTCCATGTGACTGCATAACAGTTAGGGCTTTCTTCAACAGGATAATTTTCCACTGGTGACATCGGTTTGAATGTGAAGGCCATTGAACTTTCCTATGGCCCACTTGGTGCCTCTAGTTAAGGTGCGGGATTCCAGTGACCTGCTGCATAATTTAAAATCACATGTGTTCAGTGTTTTGTCTCATTAATTGACTGCCATTAGCTTTCTTATTGACCATAGAAACCACAAGAGACTACTCTCAATAATCATACACCAACAAATCTGACAACCTAAAATAAATGGATAAATTCCTAAAAATAGACAACCTACAAAGACTGAAAGTTGAGGAAATGGAAAAGCTGAAGAGAGTAGTTATTAGTTAGGTGATTGAGTTAGTAATGAAATGTCTCTCAACAAGGGAAAGTGCAGAACCAGATGGCTTCATGGGTAAAGCGCACACCAATTTAAATAAGAATCCTGATTCTTCTCAGACTCTTCCAAAAAATAAAAGCGGAGGGATCTCTTCCAAAGTAAGTTTATGATAACCTGATAAACCAGACAAGGACACCATAAGAAAACAAAACGATACATTAAAAAGATTACACTAAGATTCAGGAGCCGTATGCTAACGATGCAGGGATGGTTCCAATTCCACAATTCAGTAAATGTGGAATTTACACAACATTAATAGAATGAAAGATAAAAATCATGATCATCTCGACAGACACAAAAGTCTTTTGACTAAAATTCAGCATCCAGCCATTACGAGAACTTTCAATAGCATGGGTACTGAGGAAAGACCACAACAAAATAAAGGTCATCCAAGACAAGCCCACAGCGAAAATACTCAATGTCTTGGAAAACTGAAAGCTTCTCCACTGAGATCAGTAATAGGACCAGAACACCCATTCTTGCCATTTTTATTCAACACATTACCTGGAGCCCTAGTCAGAGCAATCAGGCAACAAAATGAAATTAAAGTCATACAATTTGGAAAGGAAAAAGTAAAATGGTGTTTATTTACAGATGCCATCATAATATATATATAGAAAATACGGAAGACTCCATTAAAAATGCTTAGAATTAATAAACAAATAAAGTAAGGTTCCATTTTTCAAAATCAATGTAGGAACGTCGGTTGCATATTTATGCACTCACAACAAAGTATCAGGACGGAAATGTCCTTGCTATTTGTTTTGAAAATTATTCTTTCTCGATAAGACACCAAAAAACACAAAAGCAGAAGGGAAAGTGACAGGTGGGAGTACCTCAAAGGAAAAGCTTCTGCATAACAAAGGAAACCATCAACAACCTTAAATGCAACCTACAGAATGGGAGAAAATATTTGGAAATCATATATGTGATGAAAGGTTAATATCCAAAATGTGTAGAGAACTCACCCATCTCACTAGCAAAAAAAATAGCACTGAGATTAAAAACTGGGCAGAGCTCTGAAGAGACATTTTGCAAAGAAGACATACAAGTGGACAATAGGGACATGAAAAGGGGGTCAGCATCACTAGTCATCAGGGAAAAGCAAATGAGAACCACACTGAGATACCATCTACCACCTGGTAGGTTGCCTGTCATCAAAAAGATGAGAGAACAAATCCGGTGAGGATGTGGGGAAAGGGGGCACGTGTAGTTTGGCAGGAATGTAAATTGGTACAAGCACTATGGAAAAGAGTGTGGAGTTTCCTGAAAAATTAAAAATAGAACTATCGTATGATCCAGCAATCCCAGTTCTGCGTATACTATATCCAAAGGAAATGAAAACGGGATAGTGACAAGATATCTGTACTCCCATGTTAATTGCAGCATTGGTCACAATGCAAGAGATGGAATCAACCTTGGGATCCTTCAAAGGATGAGCAAGGGACATATATATACTCACACGTTGGAATATTTTCAGCCATGAGAAAGGAGGACATTATGCTGTTGGTTCTAACATAAACGGACTGTGAGGGCATTAATGTTTAGCTGCATAAGCCAGACAGAGAAAGGCAAATAGTGCATATCATCACTTATATATGGGATCTAAAAAAATTAAAAAGGCACTCATAGAAAAGTGGTTGCCGGAGGTTGGGGGTGGAGGAAATAGGGAGATGTTGGTATAAGAATGTAAACTTTTTTTATCTATGAGATGCAAAAGGTCTGGGGATCTAATGCATAACCTGGTGACTAAAGTTGATAGCACAGTGTTGTGTAATTGAAATTTGCTGAGAGCAGGACTTATATGGCCTCACACAGACAGAAAAGGAGAAATCTGAGAGGTGATGGATGAGTTAATTAACTACCTGAACAGAATCCCTGCTCCATGTACATATATGTCAAGTCACTCTGTACACTCTAAATATCTTATAATTTTTTATGTCACTTATATCTCAATAAAGGTAAAAAACCCCACAAAAACAAAAAAAAACACAACAGGATTATATTGAATAGAACTTTTTCTAATTTTAGCTCAGGCTTTAGACCCTGTGAAAGTTATATATAGCTGAATATTTTTGATCAAAATAGAAATTGGGTTAACCGTTAAATGAGACATCTGTTTTATGTCACTGCCAATGAAATGGTAGACAAACAGGACGTCTTAAGAGATAATAAAATAATTAATAAAAGATGCTTGTTTGTAATTGTCTTAAAGATATGGTACCAATTTAAAGCATATTGCGTTATTGTTTTCTTCATAAGGAGTATCCTGTATGCTGAGAATTCTTTTGCAATTTTGTAATATGGGGGATTTTCAGGTACAATCAGTAGGAATTACTTGGTCTATTAAAAGTGCGGGATTTTGGGTCCTTGTTATATATGCAGTTTCGTTTCCTTTGTGCTCATTTTGTCCATCAGCTATGATGCTGAGAATCATGTTCCCAAAGGGATCCTTACTGAGACTTTTGTGCCAGCTTGGTGTATGGCAGTAAGCACCTACTGTAACAGGCTCTTTATGCTAAGACGTCAACCTGGATCCCAAATGGGGAATTTTTTAAATGCCGGAGTGGTGTAAATATTGAGTTTTCTGCAAATATTGTTGGAACCCATATTCACATTGACCAGAGGAATTGTCTTCCCTTTAAGGTAGAATATTGGTGAATTGCCTCAAACAAGAAGAAGAACAAGAAGAGCAGGAGTAGGTTTACCTTAGGCAGGGGTTTGGCAGGTTTGCAGTGGAGGCCTCCAACAAAAACGAAATGTGGTAAGAATGGGCGAGGGAATTCAAAATCCCAGTAGGTCCGAATGAGCCACATTTCAGCTTTACTCATTAATTCAAATAATGTAGTGGGTCTTCCTGAAAGGAAAAAGCAAACAGAAGGTAGAGGAAAAGGAAGCATTTTAATGTAAGTACTACACTAGGAAATTTTCTGAAAGGTGCTGGGAATATGTAGCCAAAATGTTGTAAAGTGTCTGGGGTTTGATAATATAAATATTTATACATATAGTGTATATGTATACATACTCATATATATGATGAAAAATATAAAATTTGTGTGTTTCATGTTTATGCTCAAATATATAAGACAAAGTGCTAGAGACTTTTTGTCTCTAATGTGACATCAGTACATTCACAATGATAAACAGTTATTAAATGTAAACCACTATAGAATTAAACATATTTGTTTACTCTGTAAAGCCACAGAAGTAACAGATGCAAATGTGCACAGTTATTTGAGCTTCCTACTCAATTAACCATTGGAAACACATTGCCTAGAGTATTCAGCTTAGTTTCTACATTTTTGCAAGCTAACCCCTTTATACCAGATTCTCTAAAAATTTCAGATTTTTGGAAGTATATCTCAGTTCCTAATACTAATTATTTCATTTTGTTCATTTTAGGAGCTTAATAATCTTTGTATATATTTAATAATGATATTTAGAGTTGTAATAAAGAAGGATTTCTTAGCCTTTGGGACAGCATGGAGGAACCTGGAGATTATTATGCTAAACAAAATAATACAGTCAGAGAAAGACAAGTATCACATGATGTCACTTGTATGGGAATCTAACTAATGGACAAAATAAACTGATAAACAAAATAGAGTCAGAGACATGGAGGCATGCAACAGACTGAGGAATCTCAGAGAGGAGTGGGGTGGAAGAGATTAACCAAAGAACTTAGATTCATATGTGCATAACCTACAGACACAGACAATAGTACAGTGAAGGCATGGGGAGGGAGGAGAAGCGGGGTTCAGGGATTGGAAGGGTGGAAAAATGGGGGACATCTGTAATACTTTCAACAATAAAGATAAATTTAAAAATAGTGCAAATAATGATACATGGAAATAACAGCTGGAAACTTTTTGTAAGATATGGAAATAGATGTGTTCTTTTTTTAAAAAAAATACATCTTTATTAATTTCAGAGAGAGGAAGGGAGAGAGAGAGATAAATATCAATGATGAGAGAGTCATCATTGATCAGCTGCCCCCTACAAGCCCCCAACTGGGATTGAGCCAGCGCCCCAGGCACGTGCCCTGACCGGGAATCGAACCACAATCTCCTGGATCCTAGATTGATGCTCAACCACTGAGCTATGTCCAGCAGGGCTCCCTTAATTTTGGCTTATTATGTATGTAAAGGGGTATACCGTTTTTTAAAATATGGTCTAATGAGTTTAATGTCTACAATTCAACAAGAGTTTCAGCCTTTAAAAGAGATGATTTTAAGCACTTAGTGAATGAATGTGTAATCATGAGAATCTTTGAATTATAGGTTCTTGAATCTGGAATGCAGCCATTGAATCTCTCCATTGTGAATAATTTTTTTAGGTAATATGCTAAAACAGGTTAATTTTTAAATAAGAAAACTGAGGATAAACAAGTGGAAACAATTACCTCAATGCTTTTTCGACCGCTGTGCTAGAAATAAAGTCACTTCTCAATGTACATTTCTACTTTGATCAAGGTAGTGAAATTTCTAATGCCTCTTTTTGAGATGAAAAAATTATAGTAAAATGGATATGTTGGAAATAAGTACAGCTCAGAGAATTTTTAGGGTAGTGAAACTATTGTCTATAACGTATGTCATTATAAATTTGTCAAAACCCATGGAATATGTAACAGCGTAAGTGATCTCCAACATAGACTATGCACTTTGGAGGAGGATGATGTGTCAATATATGTTCAGCAGTTGTAACAAATGTGTCACTCTGGTGCCATAGGTTGAAAATGAGGGGTTCTATGCATGTGTGGGGGCCGGGGTTATATGGGAAACCTTACTCAATATTGCTATGAACTTCAAAGTGCTCTAATGATAAGTATATGATGGGTAATATTTTGACATTACATTTAAGAAACAACAAAGGGAGAATAAAACACTTAACCTAGAAAAAAAGAATAAAAAAATAAATTATATTACAAACAGCAAAGAATTAATGTGTAACTGCCTCTAGCACTCAGTGCTTCAGTGTGTGGTTTCTGCCTTCTGGAAGTGTCCTGTACTAATAATGGACCACAGGGTTAAAAATGATCTTATAACTTAAGCATTTCTATAATATTTCTAAGATTGAAATATCATAATATTATTTAGTCATTTTACTCATAAAAGAAATTTCCCCTGACTTAATGTTTATACAAACTCACATCCCATGGCACTAGANATAAAAGAAATTTCCCCTGACTTAATGTTTATACAAACTCACATCTCATGGCACTAGATAAGTTAGGACTTCAAGCTACCATTAAAACATGACTTACCTAGTACCTCAGTATATAACTGGTCCCACTTGTTCTGATCAAATGTTTGGAACCAGAAGTCAAAATAGAGCACGTATATCATATTTTTTACCCTCTCCATGAAGGTCATTTGATCACTTAACTCTGACAAGACAACAGGTGCATAGGACGGAGGGAATGGAAGTCCTCCAATATGCTTCTCAATTGTAGAGCCTGGAGTGAAGCGGAGACTGTACACCAAAGGTATTTTAAGTACTTCAGCCAGCAGCTCACCACAGGGTCCAAAGGGGTCTGCAAGAATGACATCAAACCTTGATTCCTGTAGTTTTGTCATCAGTTTCTTGTTTAAAACTGCATCTTNCGGCATCTGCAAGAATGACATCAAACCTTGTTTCCTGTAGTTTTGTCATAAGTTTCTTGTTCAAAGCTACATCTTTACAGAGCTTACGAAAAGAAATATAAAGTTCCCACAACATATCTTGCATTTGTGAAAAATAAGAAAAAAATGTATCATCTGGTATATATATCCATTTGGAGAGTACTTGCATGAAAATATGTTCAAAATCATCTTTTGTTAAAGATGTAGGATAAATCTCAAAATTAATAGCAGATGGCTTATTTGGATCAACAAGAATTGAAGCTGAAGATGTCAGAACAGTCACTTCATGGCCTCTTTGGACAAGTTCATCCAGGATTGTTTTCATATTCATCCAATGACTATATTCTGTGGGCCATACCAGCACCTTTCCACACCACCCAGGGCGAACGTGACAACTCAGCTGTAGGAGCAGCAGAATGAAAATCCATTTCATAGCCATCCTGGTGGAACACAGTGTTTTTCAAATGACTGATCCCTTCTGCTATTGTTCATGCTCAAGTCTAAGGAGAAATTAATCAGGTAGTTAAAATATAACTGCTACACCCAAAGTAAATACATTTCATGAACAGTCAGAGCATTTGGATGGAAGTGGGAAAAGCAAATACAGATGATCTTGTTTGTAAACAAGTGGGTTTACAGCTATTTTATGCTTGTTACGTGATATCCATGACCTTGCACATACAAGTGTTCTGTCTTATATTCTAAAGGAGTCCCTTTAAGAAGAAAAGGAAAGGCCCCAAACCAGAAACTAGAAAATATGAGAAAGAAATAAAAATTTCACAGGTAAAGCCAAATATTCAATAAATACATCATGTCAGACATTTAAAAAGTTACTACACAGGTAAAAAGAAAAAAGATATATAACTCAGTTCAAAGTACAATAAGTAATTAGAGCATATACAACACAAAACGATTGAAAGGATGATCCCTTTACATAAAATGTGGAAGGGGAGTAAAAATTTAATTTTTATAGAATATATTTGAAGTGAAATGCATATTAGCTTCAAGTAGACTGCTATAGATATAGAATGATATACATAATGCTTATGATGACCACAAACCAGAGCCCTAAAAATGTTATACAAAGAACAAAGAGGAAGGAATGCAAACAAAACACTAAGGAAAAACAAACCAGGAGGGAAGCAATGAGGAGAAGAAAGGCCTAGAGGAGAACTCTGAAAACAACCAAAAAGCCATTAACAAGTGGTAATAGGTAAATAACTATCGATCCTTTTAAGTGGAAATGGGTTTAATGCTCCAATAGAAAGACTTAGGTTGGCCCTGGCTGGGTGGCTCAGTTGGTTGGAGCATCTCCTGTGCACCAAAGGGTTGCGGGTTCGTTTTTCAGTCAAGGCTGGCTTTTGGGTTCCTTCTCCAGCAGGAAATGGGCAGGAGGGAGCCTATCAGTATATCTCTCTCCTTTCCTTCCTCTCTCTAAAAAAACCCACAAAAAGTAAAAGGAATAGACATACTTCTTTTCCATTGGTCAGTGTAGGATAGTCAACAGTTAACAATTAACATGATATTACAATGAGGAGTTCTGTGGTTTCTGCTTTGGAGTAGTGATTAAGCCCTGAGGAGTCTCATAAAAGGAAGTAAAGTAAATACTGTTAAGTAAATTATATCTCACTGTATACTCTACCAGGACTGCCAGGTAGAAGCAGATGGGTCCACTCAGAACAGCCCTGGCTTCTGGCTATAGGAAGGCCGTGCCAGGAACACTCAAGAGACCCATAACCCATGACTTCCAATGCATGGGAGTGGTGCTCTGAGACCAAGGTGACCAGCTTGTAATGGGGATGCCCACCTGTTCGGCAATAAGAACCATTTTCTACCCTGTGCGGGCATGGCTCAATATTTGAATATTGACATAGGATTCAGGAGATCATGATTCGATTCCTGATCAGGGCACATGCATGTGGCGCGGGCTCAATCCCCAGTCGGGAGCATGCAAGAGGCAGCTGATCAATGATGACTCTCTCATCATTGATGTGTCTATCTCTCTCTCTCCCTTCCTCTCTAAAATCAATAAAGACATATTAAAAAAAAAAAAAAAAGCATTTTCTATGGCCACGGTGGCAATGCCCCACAGAGATCCTGGAAGTCCCTGTAGCACAATGAATATAACATGGGAGTCAGTAAAAAAAGGAAGACTTCTCCAAAGAGACTGAAAGTATAAAAAAGAACCAGATAGAAATTGTGGAGCTGAGGAACTCACCATAGTTGCCTAGTAATCATTGATAATACATTGGTTAAAGAAAGTGAATTTCATATTGCACATCTCCTCCTAAAGTGATTTAATGGTTTGACATGTTAGAAGACAAGACTATTCTAACAATACTTCTCTCTTTAGAAATATATGCATTCATTTACTTCAAATACCAGAGAATAAAGAGGTTTCATGTGGGAAGCTGAATTTTCTTTAGGGGTGTAGGGAAAGGCAAGCAGAGAAAGCCCAGTGGCTCAAGAGTCCTCCAAGTGATACAGATGTCACCAGGAATCAAGAAGCCTTCCCTTCCACAGCTTAAAGTCTTGCCCTCCTTTGCATATTTGACAGAAGAAAGCCTATTGTAAGAACAAGTTCCTGGACCATCTGTGGTCAGAAGAGTGCATGATGAGTGAGATGAACTGGAAGACACGATCTCTTTCACTTCCATCTCCACATCGTTTATTTTTCTGTCCTAATAAACTGGAACCCTTCTGAAGCATTGAATAGCACAATTTAATGCAGAAGGAAGGTGGCTTGGATAACTTCCTGGTAGGTATGGGAGGCTGAGAAGCTATGCCATGATTCAGTCCATCAAGTGTTTTCGTGCCCTGGCCAGATTGGCTAGTGGTTAGAGCACTGGCTGGAAGACTGAAGGGTCCCGGGTTCTATTCTGCAGATACCTCAGTTGCAGACTCGATCTCTGGCCCCAATCCCGGTGTACGTGGGAGGCAACCAAGGGATGTGTCTCTCTCACATCGCTGTTTCTCTCTCTTTTTTTTCTCTCTCTCTCCCCCTCACACTCTCTCTGAAAAGCAATGGAAGACAATAACCTTGGGTGAGGATTTAAATAAAAAAATGATTTGTGCCCTGTCTCCAAAAAATTATAAGTATGAGAAGAACCACTAACTATAAATATTGCCAAACATGTGAGAAAGGGTTGTAATGGGGATTTACCAGCAACAAGCTGAAAATTTTCTCTTTTAAATATAATTGGTCAAGCGATCTCCTCTGTCAGATTGTCCTCAGACTAAATCAGCGATGCTGTCAGTGATGGGTAACTTGTCAAGATGGAAAACTGACTTTGTTGTAAAAGCCTATTTGCACCTCTGTTCCATTATTACCCAAAATGTTTTCTGAGCTTCTTTGTGACTTTGGGTCCTTTGTTTGGTTTTGTTTTCCTATAGAGCCACCAAGCCACCCACCACCCCATTCTCTTTCTGGCTCTCTACTTTGTTTGCCATTTGTAGCCTTTCTTTTTCACATTAGAGTACTGTGTTCACTATGATATCTAGGGCCTTATATTTTATGACCTGTGATTCCTATTCTGTTTCAGCAGATTTACTCCAAACTTTGCTCTTGGATTATTTGTTTAGTCTTTGATTTGCCACACCCTCCAACTCTACTTGCTCGCCAGCTTTCTACTTTGATTGTTTACCATGCTGCCTAGTTTTCTTCACGTTACCTTGCATGTCCTTTGCTATGGCATCTCTTTTAAGAGCTTATTTTCTATGAGCTATGATTTCTGATTAATTATTATCCTCATTATCTTAGGAACTTTGGCCTTTGGATTATTTGTATAATCTTCTTTTGGACAGACCTACTCACCCTCCCGCTTCACTCACCAACCAGGTTTCTACTTTATTTAACATTCAATGCCCAGTTTTCCTTCACATTACCTTGAATGCCTCAATTAAGAGCTTATTTTTTATGACTTGTAATTTATGATTAATTTTTAGCAGATTTAGTTTTGAAACATTCGCCTTGGTTCAAGCCACTTCCTGTATCCTTACTAAATGTACGTGTGTGCCTGTATCTATATAATATTTACATATTATATATATAATAATAATTTATATATATAAAGATTAATGATTTATAAACTCAGATATTTATTTCCTCTATAATCTAAAATTAACCTTATATACCTTCTTAATTATTGAGAGTATCCATGACATTTCTATTAAGGATGGTTAAGTTCCATTTGAAAGGAGTGTTTTTCTTAGGATTTCAATATTTTTATCATAGTGACATAACAAAAGCTGTTTTATATATGTGAGAGATGGTAATAAGGAAATGCCTCTCTTGGCTAAGATAAGTTTGGCAAGTTGAGTGATATAATTTGGTTATGGAAAGTGTATTTTAAAAAGACCACTCAGATGAAGAAAAACGAACTTTCTTGGTCCTCTATATTGTAATACGACTTTCGGTAGCACAGTATCTCTCCAAATAATATGTGAAATTTTGAAATTAGTGTCTTTCTCTTCTCTTTTAATTAATGCAACATGCAGAGTAGTTAGGTCCAGGTGCCAGACTGCTGTGTTTTAATACCATCTTCATCACTTCCTCCCCATGAAAACTTGGGTAGGGTAGCTGAACTTCCTGTACTTCAGTTTCCACATTTGTAAAAAAAAGAATAATCGTAATTATAAAAAGGATTTCTGTGTTTGTTATCTGTGAGTTAATATACATAAAGCACTTGGAAGCTTTTCTGGAAGAGAGTAAATTTTCACTAAATGTTCACTAATTTCCTTCTGCCTCCTGCAAACAGGAAATGAAGGACATGCTCAATAGATATTTGTATTGAATGTGCTTACAAATTAGAAATCATTTAGTTATGAAAAACATACCAGACTTTCACATTTTGCTTCATTTTCAAAGTGAAGGGAAATAGTGATTGTAAAATCAGAAAACAGACATTATAATTCTAATGTTAATACCCAACATTTTACCTTTAGTTCGTGGATGACTTAATCCATTGAGAAGGAAGGAGTAATACTAGATAACGCCCAGAGAAAACTCTTTCACATATAAGCAATTTTTCTTCTTAATCGAGATATTACATGATAGAGATATTAGAATAGTAGAATAATTGAAACTAGACAAGAGATATCAGAGGCTTTGATTCTAAAAACCAAACAAAGTTTAGCTGTGAGCTCATAGAATTGTTTAATTTTCAAGGCAAGTAAACATAAAGATTTCACAAAACACTGTTCTTTCTTGTACATAGATTTTTTTTACTAGAATCCGGTTTGAAAATTATATTTTCTCATGATTGACAATCAGTTGATTTTATGAACATATTAAACGAAATTTTCTTCTGTAGTATATTACAGATGCTACATATTCTTGCAGCTCCTATTGGGAGGCGGAGGCCTATTTCTCCATCCCTTGAATTTGGGCTTGCCTCATGTCCTGCTTACCAATAGAATGTGGGAGAAGTTATACTGTGTCACTTCTAAACCTAGGCCTTCAACTTTCACAGAC